GATATCCACCCTTACCTCAAGCCCGGCCTCGTGCCCTGGCGCATCTTTTGCTCCGCCACCTCCTTGTGGCCTGGCAGAGCTGTCCGACTTTGTGGGACATACGCCAGCTGTTTGAACGATGTCCACCACACATATCCCAAATTCAATTTGGCAACCCCTTGTTTTAAAGCTATATTTGGTTTTCCCGGCAGTCAGTCGGCCACCATAGCTTGCCCTAATCCTGACCAAAACCTACCCTCAGCCCTATGACCTGCCTTCACCACCAAAAATCCATCTGAAACCTAAGCTACTTCTTCCGGCGCCTGCGCCTCATCACCAGGGGACATTTGTTTCAAGGGTGGCGCTGTCAATCAGCGCAGGAAGAGCTTTTGGCAGGTACTTGACGAGCCCACCATCACGAACCATGAAGAACAGGAAATGTGTCCGCGCAGGAAGCGGTGTCACGCGCGTACGGTCTCACCCCACTCAGCCTGCCCGGAAAGAATCATAGCCAACTCAGCCTGTGCAATCTTGGTCTTCAACGCGTGTTCCGAGCTTGCGTAAAAGAAGTCAAAGGGACTTCTGTTGCATGCGTTTGCTACTGGGGTTTCTGGTCGACGTCTTGCGTGTAGTAGGCTCAGGGTAGATTAAAGGTGGATCTATGGTAGGGCGTTAGGAAATTTAGGGTGAGATATTTGGCGTATGAGGGTACGCTTTGGTCAAAGTAAAATCACGCAGGCTTGAGGTGGTTTTGGCTGGCCGGGTGTGTTTAGGGTGGTTTGCTTTGGGTTGGTTGGGCTCAGGATCTGTTGCTCCCTTAAGGGTGAAGTTCAGGTTGGGCTTTGGATCAGGAAGCCGGCTAGGATGGGCTGCAGGCTTAGGGTTGTTCTCGGCGCGGTTGGGGCATTGATCCTGGAATATAGGGCGGGTTTACAAAAGCGTTGTTCTACCAAATCGCGCTTGGAATTCGTTTCACGAATCATGAAGTTGACGGTTCACGAGAAACCGACGCTGCCTGCAAGCGTGCCATCAACAACGCCTGATCGTCGTTCGGCCCAATCGCTGCCACCCATTCAAAGCAGCTGCCACCAAGTTCTTGCCCATTGCAGCCAAGTGTCCACTCCACTTCACGCTGCTTTGGACGTTCAAATCCTGCAATGCCTCTTTGTGATGTCTTCCCAGTTCGTGCGTAGTTATGCTGAGTGACTCCTTCCTGTCCCTGACCTTGACAGATGTCTGGGGAAGGGGGTGGACCGTTGAGGAAGTGGCAACTCTGATCGCAGTGTGTATGCTCTTGTAGATGATGTTCTCAGCGTCACAGGCTTTCTTGAAGTATGGATCCTCGTGCCTTTTTCTATTTCTTCATCGTAGAAGCCCTTGTGGAAAGCGCCTTCATCATTGCTGGGCGCGTTGCCCTTGCTGCTGTCAAGGCGTCAGGCGTGCGTGGTCGTTGCGATGCGCTGTTTACTATTGAAAAGTTCTGCGAGGATGGATTTTCAAGTGACTACAGTGATGAGGAGCGCTCTCTTATCCCTCGGAACATGCCTGAGGACAGGCGCCACGGTGGGTTGAGATGGCCATCAACACAGACCATCTGATCTGGGGCGAACGCAAAGTCTGGATGCGTCCCTGTGATGAACGGGCATTTGCGAGGGCAGTGACTTGTGCTCGCAAGGTTCGGCGTTGAGTGTCAATCTGCGTCCGTGGTGTTCTCCGTAGCTGCTGTCTCTTCAAGGGAGCGCAGGTCAGCTGTTATCATGTTTTGCTGGGTTCCTTGCGTTTGGTGGCAAGGCATTTCCATCTCGTCCGGACGGGCGAGAGGCTGTCCGGCTGCGACAGGGCAGCGGGTGGTGGGTCGGAACGTATCTGATTTGTCCTTCTTCTCGCGCTTCTCGTCCTCCTTCCCCTTGTCAGATAACGAGATGTCAGTGCGAAATCTGACATGCTGAGAAGTTGAACAAAGTTCTTACACCCAGAGCTCAAGGGTGCCGATTTTCCAGAAGCGCCGATGTTCGCACGTAAACTTTTCCGGACCTAGCGCAGACTAACCGGCCCGTGCGACCCACGGTCTCTAGTTCTCTCTCTTTCCCGTGCGCAGCTGGAATGGCAGGCGACAGAGCAACGCTTACCTTTCTACCCTGGTTGCCTCACACTTGACATCTTTCGAAGAATCTGCTCCGCTACCATTTGGGACCTTATCGGAACGTGTCAATGACGGAATGCGAGAATAAGCAGCCCCGCCACTTCTTTTTAAGGCCGTTATAAGCAAGCTGAAGCCCTGAGCGAACTCCGCAAATTGGCAGAGTCCTAGATTTGCCGAAAAGCCGCACAAAAGTAGCGAGGCTACGCAAACCAAACCTTCTGCTGCAAGCAGACGTTCTCATTTTTGGCTTGGTGAGCCGTGCTGCTCGAGAACTGTTGAAGCGATGCCCAACCGCAGAAGATACCCCGAAAGCGAAAGGGATCGTAAAGGACGATAAGCATCCGGAGGTTTGGAAGCTTGTTTGGGGGAACAGACCTTGCCTGGCAAGGGGTGTTGGGAGCACAATGTCTGCAGCACGTTGCTTGGTGCTCGGATTTGTTGCCCCCGCTGAGTGAAGTCTCAACTCGTCCGACCCGGTCTGTGACAGGTGCTTCGGGCGTGCCTTTCCTTGGGGTACTTGTTTCACGGCCCACGTTTCAGAGACACTTTCAGACATTGCAGCGCCGAGGTTGCTTATACTTTGGTGGACCAGTGGCCTGCTCATTTTGCTGCAGGCGTGCGGTGCACTGAAGAATTTGGTGACTAAGTTTTGCACTCCTCAGGTTCGTCCTTCCGGGGCTATCTTGTATTGGTTCCCAGTGCTTCTCCATCTGGGTATTTCTAGGCTCGAAGAGATGCCACGTTCCTTGGGATTTCGGCTGCCACCCATCAACCTTGGCACATGTTGACCGTGGCTTATTGCAGAACTCCCGCCCGCAGGATGCTGGCGCCCTTGCGGCGCCTCAATGTTGGCGCACGCAGAAATGTTTCACATTGTGTTTAAGTTCTTCCGCTTTGTTGTCTTTCGCGCCTGATTTCATTGACTTTTTGGCGTGCCGCGGGCTATATCAAATCGCGGGGCATTCTTGACATGGCCCAATGGCTTTAGCGCCCTGCCAGGCAAGCAAATGTAAGGGTAAGCGCTGGCAACGAGGCGGGGTGTGAGATGCGAGGCCTCTGGCTGGTCGGCTTTGCGGGTGTCGCCTCTGCTGCGGGACAGCGAGGAGGGCCCCAAGCCCATTGAGCAGGGCGCCTTCCTGTCCCGAGCTCGGGCGATGGGAGAAACGCGAGGACAAGAACCGAACGCACAAACCAACAGCCCCTAAAAACATGCGCCCAAAGGGTCGCGATTCAAAGTCATAACGCAGATCGGCGCCCTGTCCATCATAAAAGAGAAGCGAGGTTTTTTTTTACTAGCGCGAAGGTTGCCTTGTTCCTCCCTACCAACCAAGCGAACGCCAAGTTCCCTAAGGTTGGAGGAGGCGGTCGCCCCGGGAGGCCAGCCTTTGATGGGAGCCGCCTGGCCCCATCGATCGATCAGGGTGCGGAGCCTGTCTTTTCCGCGCAAACTCGAACCCTTCTCCCGAAAATCTTTTGGAACTTTGGTTTGCGCAGGTTGTTTTTGGGTGCTTTGTTGTGAAGGTCCAGCAAAAGTCTTGGGGTGCCTCACTCCATGTGCGCGCAAACCCTCCCCGCCCCCTCCACCAAAAAAGCCAAGGGCGCAAGGCTCGAACTCGAATTCCCTCGCAGAAGGCAAGCTTGAACCTTCTGGGGCCGATTGATGAGCTGGCCGCAACACATGCTACAGGGCACTCTGCGCCAAAGCACTGACCAAGTTGAGAGCACCTTGAGAAAATACACCACAGTTGCTCACAGAAAGCTGGTAGTTGCAACCCCGGGTTGTTGGCAGAACAACTGGCAAGAAATGCTGCACATTCCAGGTAGCAAGGCTCAAGGTATTGCGTGGCAGCGGCTTGGCGGTATGTTCCCGCAAACCTTGGCAGATAACTACGTAGGCTACAACAGCTAGTTTGTTCATCTCTCTCGTCCTTGCCCCACTGGAGCTGCTCGTGTTCTTTTCTGGGAGCTGCGATGGCACGCGCAAGCTGATTGAGCCTTAGAACGCAGATCAGACTCCGAGTCCGGATAACATTGAAATCGGAGCGCAAGAACGAAGCCGAAAGAAAGTCGCATGAGAAGGGGAGATGTGGTTTCAGGGCATCTGCGGCAAGAGCTGCGCCAGGCGCTTCTTGGCACAGCTTGGCTTGTGGCGGATTCCCCAATCAACAAGAAGCAATGGAGACACCTGTCTGCGGCAAAGGTCAAGGAGACGGGCCTGACGGCCAAAGCCATGAGTGAGAAGGGCAACGGCGAGGAGCTAGATGGCTCCCTTATGCTTCTGAGTGACGGAAAAGGTGGTCTTGCGCAGCTATGAGCAACGCCAGCCTTGCCTTCGCGCAGCTGTGCTCTTCTGCGGTTGAGGAACCCTGCAAGTGAGCGCAAGCAGGCGTCGTCAGGCAGCTGCGTGTCGCGGCAGACCCAACGGAAAGTCTGGCTCTCCAAAGTGTTGAAAGGTCTCTTTCAGTACAGCGAGCAAAGATGATTGGTAGCTAAAACTTCCGACGGAGAAGCTTCTTCTCCGTCAAGGCTTCGCAGCTTTTGCGGGTTTGCTTGACCAGGATATCCCCTCCTCAATCTGCGCCTGAGGGAGCAACGAGGAGGTCGAGATGTAGGCCGGCGTGCGACTTTTGTTTTCAACACCAGTCCCCAGCCTCTAGTCAGGAACAGTTTGGTTGGCGCTGCGGGGCTTTCGGAAGCCAAGACCGTTCAATGTTACAGAGCAGCCTTGGACACAGAGAACTATGTTTTGCCTGCTTTAAACTCTCTTGCGACGGGACGCAGCATGGTTTTGTGACCAAAGAAAATCTGATCCCCAAAGTTCTTGCGAAGGGCCAAGCCTCGAGAGTATGCTCACGCCGAGCGAGGAAAAGAGAATTCGAAGCCAGGGGCCGGCCAAAGCAGAGCCCCCCCCACCCCAGGTTTACCAGTTTGCCTGGTGACATCGCTGGTGAGCCGGATTGGCCTTGTCAGTGCTGGGCTGCATGAGGCTTTGGTCGCGGGGATGTCGCTTTTCGTTTTCAGAAGGAGACTGCTTGCATTGGGGCGGGCCCTTACAACAAGTCTTTGGATTTCTGCGATAGAGCCTTGAGTTGGGGGTCGCAGGCCGGGCTAAGAACTCGCAACATCTACAGCTCTGATGCTTCAGATTGGGCCTTGGAAGCACAAGACCTCTGCTGAACAAGAAGGGAGGTGCGCAGGGCAAGCCGTTCTGGCAGACTCACAAGTTGCTCTGGGAAGAATGGTGAATGGGAGGGCTTCGTCGGTCGCACTTATTGCTTGCATGCATGTAGGATGCAACACGCAGTGCTCTGCAGCGCTGTCTTCCTACAGAGTTCAATTCGGCCCCTCTCGGAATTTTGTGCCCCCCGTGTTTTGATCTTTGCGCAACATTCTTTTCACGGATGCGATTCGGCTCGATCCGATTTTTCGATTCAACCAGCACCGAAGCGATTCGACCGATCCGATTCGACCAACCCTCAAGGCTCCGGGGGCACAAAGTCTCCAGAAAAAGCATGCTCCCAGATGCGTTTTCCCGGCGGTGAATTCTCAAGGCAGCTCCTAGAAGGTCACAGGCTGTTAAAAAACCTGGAGGCGAGAGCTGTGTCACACGTGTTTCCCCCTGGCTTTTCTGCAACTCGTCATCTCTGGCTCATGCTTGGCAGTGAACGGGAGAATTAGGACAGCATTGGTTTCATGCAAAAATGGTCAAAAACCCAATGTTTTTTTGCATAATTGCAGCTCGATTGCTCGAAAACTACGCATGTAGCGAAACACATTAGAGTGAAGCTGGGTTGTGATATAGTCTTGCAATGATTGCCACCCTCTGTCCACACGTTGAGTCCCACTATGAAACAAGCGGGTCGTTGCGTGCTCTGGTGACAGAGACTCTTCTAGCAAACTCATGTTTGCTGGCCAGACGCTTTTTGCCAGCGTCTGCAACCAACATTGGCCATGTATCAACTTGCGTGCATTGACATGTGTGTTCGTGTGAGTGCAAACCTTTCATAACGACGGTAACATCCCCCCCGCCACACCCCTCCCCCACCCACCCACCCCTCCCTGGCTCGCAGCTGCAACTCGACGCGTCACAGCCCAAAAGCAGCAAACAGCACGACACACACTAACATGTTTTTTAGAAGGAGCATGCTCCCTTTCTAGGCCCCGAAAAATGCATCTAGACAAGCGGTGAATTCTCAGAAAGAGAATGCTCCCATCTGCGTCATAGCCCCGAAAAATGCATCTAGACAAGCGGTGGATTCTCAAGGCAGCTCCTAGAAGGAGCATTCTCCCAAATGCGTTTTCCCGGCTCCGAATCATGCATCTGGACAAGCGGTGGATTCGCAGGGCGGGTCCTAGAAGGAGCATGCTTCCAGATGCGTTTTGTCGGCCCCGAAAAATGCATCTAGGCAAGCGGTGGATTCTCAAGGCAGGCAGCTCCTAGAAGGAGCGTGCTCCCAGATGCGTTTTCCCGGCCCCAAGAAATGCATCTAGACAAGCGGTGAGTTCTCAAGGCAATTCCTAGAAGGATCATGCTCCCAGATGCGTTTTCCCGGCCCCGAAAAATGCATCTAGATATGCAGCCCCGAGAAAAACATCTACACAAGCGGTGGGTTCTCAAGGCAGCTCCCAGAAGGAGCATGCTTCAAGATGCGTTTTCCCTGCCTCAATTAACGCATCTAGACAAGCGGCGGATTCTCAAGCAGCTGCCACAAGGAGCACCCGGCTACGAAGAAGGCATCTAGACAAGCGGTGGATTCTCAAGCCAGCTCCTAGAAGGAGCATGCTCCCAGATCCCTAAAAATGCATTTAGATCACCTCCTACCACTACTACTACCACTACTACTACCACTACTACTACTACTACTACTACTACGACGACTCTAGTAGTACTAGTACTAGTACTAGTACTACTACTACTACTACTACTACTACTACTACTACTACTACTACTACTACTACTACTACTACCTACCACGTCTGCTACTACTACTACTACTACTACTACTACTACCATTATTACCACTACTACCGCTACGCCTGTTACCATCGCTACAACTGCCAGCGCGAAAACAACACGAGGTCTAAATGCGTTTTGCCGGGCCGAAAAAACGTATTTGACGTCTTGCCGGCTATTTCAAGTGCTACTACAAGTGCTACTATACTACAACGACCCCTGCGAAAGGAAAACGGGGTCTAAGTGCGTTTTGCCGGGCTGAAAAAAACGCATTTATCCTTTCCAAAACCATGGTCCAGAGCCAACTCCGGAAACGAGCGTAGGAACAAAAGGGAAATGAGGTGTAGATGCGTTGCGCCAGGCCCAAAAAAGCATCTGGCGTGTTCCCGGGCGAGTTCTACTACTGCTACTACTACTACTACCG